TCTAATTATGCCAATGTAGGGATTATTCCATAAACCCTCCTCACCAGTTTATCAGAATCCAAATGGGAACATAAGATCTGAAAACAGGTGAATGCAGCTCAGCTATTCTGGACATCTTATTTCACAAAAATAGTGAAACTAAAGTGGGCATGTAGGAAAGAGTAAATCCTACAGAAGTAGAAAAGGTGACAGAAAAAGATCAAGTACAAAGGAAAGGAAAGTTTTAAAATGAGAAAATCAGCCAGGGACCTAATGACTTTAGCATCTCTGTCTATGTCTTTAACCTCATCACTCCTTCATTTGATGAAGCAGCCAATTTTAGCTTGCTAAGGCGCTCAGGCTGAGGAGAATGTTTCTTTGTGTTTCAAGCTAACAGAAAAGAGTCTTGCAAAATCATTTTCTTTTCCTTCTCTGCATGTAAAATCCATTATAAAGCTGGAGGCCATCTTTCTACTCTAGAGAAAAGAAAGTATTTACAAAGAAGGCAGAAGAATGTCTTCACACATATCACAAAAGAACAGGCTAATTAAAGCCCTGAATGAGAGAGAGTTCTGTGAGCTTGTTTCTGTCAGGAACAAAAAAGCCTGGCCATTGACCAGCTTTCTTTAGACAAGGAACCAAACTAGAGTCACAGAGATAAGAAAATAGAAGGGCAGGGTCAGAATTCAACATCCACCAGCTTGTCCTCTGCCATCTTCCTCCAGGCCTCTGCCATGAGGGTGCCAGATAGAATAGCCATGGGAAGCAGGCAGCAGAATTCTCCGGGTACTGGCAAAGATGTTGGATCATCCAGAGCAATTAGAAAGAGAGACACAGCCAAATTCAGTCTCCATTTATACAGCCACTTACCTTTGCTTCTGTATTCCTCATTTGTTTTCTACTTGTTTTTTATTTTTTTTAATCCTCAAAAATACATTTCTCTTACTTCCTCCTAATCACTACTAACTTAAGATTAACAGGGAAGGCTCTTCTCCAATTTAACTACAGTCTCCAAAGGTCAGTACGTTGGGTACTATGTTAGTGATGCCTCGGGAGTGGAGGCAGCAGTGCTTTGGGCTGTGAGATGGGGAAGAGACTGCAGTTGAATGTGAGGAGAAGATCCTAAAGAGGCAAGATTTGCTGGGTGGCAGTGGGGCACTGGGTTGGGAAGTTAAAGGACATCTGAGTCACATGTCAAGGTAGAAAGCTGGCTTACCATCTCATACCAATGGAGAGGTCATTGTTATGGCAAAGGAATGTGTCTCGAGGAGTCTGATCCCATTTTTTGATGTTTGGCTCCTGACAACTTTTAAGCTACCCCTCCCTCTTCCCCATATACCTACATAAGAAGGCCTGGGCATTCCCTCCTTTGGTGAGGGTAAAAGATTCAGATCAAGCACTCTCATCTCTGCCTCGGAACTTTCAAGCCAGACCCACCCACTAACCACAATAAAAACGCTTTCCTGGCTCCCTCAAGCTATTTCAGACGTGCGTGAGAGGACTGCCCTGCTCTCCTCAGAGACCTCAGTTATGTCATCCAAACCTTTTCAAACCCCCTTGTTTTGTGTGGCATCATCTGTTTCAATACCCAAACCAAATTTTGGGCAGGCATCTACCTACCTCTGCAGGTAATCATTACAGAATAGACCTAGGAAATACCTGGTATTCTCATCATTTATTGTGGTATCTGGCAACACTTCAGAAAAGCTGGGCCAAGTTAATGAGTAAAAGACAAGGCTAGAAGTTGATATCATTTATAGGGGATAGACTGTAAATGGGAGTGGATTATAGTGGTCTTAATCCCAGTTTATTAGTCAGGGTCTATCGCCTAGGTCACTCTCATGAATCTGGGCTGTCTACAAAATCACATGCTATAAACATGTAAAATGTAAGCTTGGAATGTTGGCCATGGCTCTAGGATGACTCCTGGGCAACAACCACTGTTGTCTCACTTGTTCTGACCCACACTAGTTCTCCCTGCTTTTGAAGCCTCCATCTGGTTCTCTCTCTGCCTCCAATTTTTATTTTATATGGTCTTGATTTGATGACTTGCTGTCGATACAGTAGCCTGACTTCAGCCGGTATTCCCATTCATATTTCATCTAGAATTTGGTTTTTGCTGCCACTCATCAAGGCTCTAGGTAAGCAATACCTCTACACACACACACATACACACACACACACACACACACACACACACACACCCCAGGGATTGGGTATGAATGGATTAGATGGATAGGGAGCTAGTGAGAATGAAAAGATATTGAGATATATTCAGAATCTAAACTTACCAGATATCTTAAGTACCCCCACCCTAGCTAGGGTTTATAAATCAGGTTATACATTATGAGGAAATTACATGAGTACAGAATCTAGTAGTGCCATCTTGTTTTCTCTGAAGTTAGAGCAGGACAGCTGATATGGGTCGAATTTGTGTCTCCACACAAATCTCGTATCAAATTGTAATCCCCAGTGTTGGAGAAGGGGCCTGGTAGGAGGTGACTGGATCATGGGGGCAGATTTCCCCCTTGCTGTTCTCATGATAGTGAATGAGTTCTCACAAGATCTGGTTGTTTAAAAGTGTGTAGCACTTCCCCTTTCCTGTCTTCCTCCTGCTCTGGCCATGTGAAGATGTGCCTCCTTCCTCTTTGCTTTCTGCAATGATGGTAAGTTTTCTGAGACTTCCCCAGCCATGCCTCCTGTACAGCCTGTGGAAGTGTGAGTCAACTGAACCTCTTTTCTTTATAAATTACCCAGTCTCAGGTAGTTCTTTAGAGCTATGCAAAAATAGACTAATACAACAGCTAAGATCATTGATGAGAGAGTGGTTCTGTCAAAAAACAGGAGAAGAGCCCTTGGTTCAGTAGTGTCCACTTTTCAGTTAATCAAGAATTGTGGCTAACTGTGAAGTGTGGTTGAAAATATTAAATCCAAGTTATATATAAATCAGCACAAAATATGCTCTGTGATGGTAGAGACAGCTAAATTGGAAATTCCAGTTTGAGTGTTGCCTGTCTCTCTCTCCCTCTCTCTCTCTCTAGCACCTCATTTTTCTGTACCTTTGTTTCCTTATCTATAAATTGGTAAGTTTAGACCAATCTCTAAGGTTCTTCAAACTCTAAACCTTTAGTGGATATGTTAGTCAGGATAGTCTAGCCTATGTGACAGTAACAAAAACTGAGAATTCTTGTGACTTAAAACTTAAAGTTTATTTCTCATTCATATAAAATCCACTACGGTTCTTGGGACTGTCCAAGGAAGTTCACATACAAAGATGTGACAAAAAGCTGACAAAAGCTTCATTGTTTTTGACAGGCTTCCAAGGTCTTTGCAGCAAGCATAAGAGATAAACTGAAGGTCAAGCACTAGCTTTTAAATGCCCTGACTTAGGTATGACATATATCACTTCCACTCACAGCCTAGTAACAGCTGGCTCTGCCCAAGGGTGCGGCAGCGTGGAAGAGCACGTAGATATTCAATCTTTGCTGTGGTGGTTCTAGGACTCTCATTCATTATGGGCTCATATCACGTATGGCCCTGTTACCATGACACAGAGATATTCCAATGACCATAGGCGATACCTCCAAGAAGGAGCTGCCATCTTCCAGAAATGGCTCAGGACTCACAAACACACTAGCATGTCAATGGCCCCAAACAGCTAATCACCAACAGGGCAAAACCAGTCTAAACACGAGGTCTTCTAACAATGCGAGAGGAAATGCACAGATGATTTGTTTGACACCAGTAGGAGGTGGGAAGAGGATCCTGTGTGAAGCTAACAGACCACTGTGACCTAGTATGTTAGGCCAGAAAAGTGGACCAAAAATAAGTTGTTTGTAGAGTTCTTTCTGAGGCAACAAAACAGATTCCAGATGCAAACTAAACAAGCTGGAGGCAAAGACAGCGTCTGCACCCAACAAACATGTGTTTACTGGTTGACTACCTGGCTGGCTTTCTGAAACTCAGCAGTAAAGATATATTTCCTCCATACTCCAAGGTGAGTTGAAGAATCTCAGTTGTCTTCCACAGAGCTTGTAAAGCTTTGGTGAATTTCAGGGGATGAGGGGTTCTTTTCAGAATGAATCCAATTGCAGGAGAGGAAAAGGAGGGTTGGAATAAATCCATCTGGGACCTGGGGCTGCCATGAGTGGGTCATAGATTATGCAGGTGTCCTCCTTCCATACCCTGGAATAAATCTCACTGGTCACTGCCTTTATAATTAGAACAAATTTGGCTTCAGAAGGCATTAAAGGGCCCAAGAGATATGCAGAGGAAAGGAAGAAAAATGGAGTGATCATCCAGGTAGCAATTCTGTTTTTCTTTAGGCTGAGGGTTCAACCATCTCTTCATCTTCCAAAAGATCCACTGGGGAATGTTTTCAAAGGGTAACCTCCTCTTTGCTTTACCAAAGGGGCTATCTAGAAAAATAGCTGTCTCACTTGGTAACATCCAATTCATCTAGATGACTCCACATATAGCTTCTCTCAGGGAAGTCACTTTTACAAGGCAGGGGTAAGATTCTCAGATGCCAGGCCATTGAGTAGTATTTGCTGAGGCAGCAGGTTCCTATACTCTCTAATTTCCTTACCTCCCCCTGCCCGTTCTGTACCCCAACTCTTCAGAAGATCCCTCATCCACTGGAAGCACAGCTGGGAAGGCCTGAGGTTAAGCCATGCCTAATTCATGTGGACTACTTCTCGGAAGTCTGTTAAGAAGTGTCCTGGGTGATCATTCATTCTAGCAAATAAAAGGGCCAGCATTAACTAGCTTAATTCTCTAAGGAAACCTTGGTGGTCAGAGGAGTTTATCTTAGAAGTCACAACTCAATTTTTGTTTTCCAGACAGCCCTCTTGAACTCATGTCAGTCTGATAGTGTGAATAAGAACCATTTGCTGCACAAGTTAGATTTCAGTCACTATACTACATGCTTTCAATACTTTATGTGACTTAATCCTTCTAACAACCCTATATAGAAGGTAGATCCTTTTTTTTTTTTTTTTTTTTTTTTTTTTTTTTTTGAGATGGAGTCTCACTCTGTCTCCCAGGTTGGTGTGCAATGGTGCCATCTCGGCTCACTGCAACCAGGTAGGTCCTTCTTAAAGATAAGACACTGATGCTAGTGGAGGTGTTTGGAGGTATAGTGACTGGCTTGGGTTGCAGGGCTGGCATTACAGAGGAGCCCTCCTTCCTACTAAGAAGTGGAGCTGGGATTTGAACTCACCTCTGCCTGATTCCAAGACCAGTGCTCTTTATACCATATTATTTGCCAAAAATAGTAAGACAGAGTGTAACGCAAGAGGGTTGCTAGGCCTTCTCAACTTTCCCACAGAGCGTCAGGCAGCCATGAATTCACAAGTGCTCCAGCTGAGATAGGAGAATAAAGAGGTTGAGAGCCAGGATGTTGCCCAGCAAATGGCTGGCATGAGAAGATGCAGTGGCAGCAATGCCTTTCAGGAGCAGACTGGTTAACAAGCCTATGAGAAGTACCCCAGGCCCCTACAGAAACCTGGGGACCACTTACAGGATGGAGACCCTGCATAAGCAAGTGAGGCAAGAGCCCATGAAATCTAGGTTAGTGTCCTTACTGCAATACCACTAATTCTTATGGGAGAGTAATTCCCAGGGAAATTGGGGCCATGAAAACAAACAAACACACTTAGAACCGTCTAACTGGAAGAAGCTTACAAATTCTTTAGTTCAGGGGTTTTTGGGAGGCCAAGGCAGGTAGACCGCCTGAGGTCAGGAATTCGACACCAGCCTGGCCAACATAGTGAAACCCTGTCTCTACTAAAAATAAAAAAAAAAGTACCTGGGCATGGTGGCAGGTGCCTGTAATCCCAGCTACTTGGGAGGCTGAGGCAGAAGAATCACTTGAACCTGAGAGGCAGAGGTTGCAGTGAGCCAAGATCGCACCATTGCACTCCAGCCTGGGCAACAAGAATGAAACTCCATCTCAAAAAAAAAAAAAAAAATAGCGCCTTTATTATTTTTCTAATAAGTTTTAAGTGGAACCTCAGTATATTAAAAAAATTTAAAAACCTGAAGCCTGCTTCACCCCCCTTTATTCCTCCATGGGGGCCACTGAACTAATCTGATCCTCTCATTTTGCAGGTGAGGAACCAGGCCCTGGGAGAAGAACAGCGAGGTGCTCCAGGTCACGGTGCCAGCCAGATCAGGTCTTTTTACTCCTAGGTAAGGAGTCTTTTCTATGCACTACACAGGCCACTGAGCCAATGGCTGTTCGCTATGAGAGGCTGTCCTGTGGGCCTGGGAGGAGTTTCCTAACTATACCTGGCCTGTCCTCTAGAGCCATGTTTCTCAAAGTGTGGTTCATGGTCAAGGATGGTCCACAGTCAAGTGGTGGGCTATGAAGATGGCAAAGAGATGGGAAAATACGAGTGCTCTTGGCAATTCTGATGAGAAATGATGCAGAGCTCTATAGACTTTCATTTTTGTGTATGAATATTAGCTGGTTCTTAATAACACACCAAGCATGCAACTAGATTTCAGAAAGCTAAAGGTATGTATTTACGAACTAAAATGAGTCTCCTGGGGACTCTGATTCAGTAGATCCCCAGAGTCTGGCATTCTCACTCTATCTGGCACGTAGCTGAAGCTCCTATTACGCGGGTAGATACACAGGGAGCTGGGATTCCTGGAACTTTGAGGAATATCTGTGTTATCAACATGGCATCATTTGTCATCTTGAGCGGGTCATAATTTCAACTGCTGATCTTCTTGAATGAATGAAGATATTTGCAGACTCACACTTGTTAATCATTTTGTGTTTAACTTGTCTAGTATTACTTATTTGTTGTTATTATGTTCTCCAACACCTTGTTATCACCAAGTATTTTTTCCACTTGAGATGGGACCAAATCAGACAGATGGTCTTGTCTCCATTTTGGGGGCTGGGCTCCAGAGAGAAAAGAACTCCAACTACAAATACCTGTGTAAACAGCCAGTAGTCTGGTTTGACAAAAAAAAACAAAAACAAAAACAAAAACAAAAAAACACACACACAAAAAAAACAAGAAAAACAAGGAAGTCATTTGAACCAAAATGGAAACCCATTTCAGCCACTGAAGTCCTGAGAAAAGAAGCTCTGATGTCAAGAGCCACAGCCTTGCCAGGCCAGCAGCCTATACTCCTGGGGAAGGATGATGGAGTCACAGAGTGAATCTTGGTGGCTTCAAAGTATAACTTTCTGCAGAGCACACAACCATGCCTGTACCTGCAGAAAGAAAGAATCAGTCACACGCGGGAAGAGCCCTCCTCCCACTCTTTGCAATGCTTTCTGTCCCCAACTCTATCCCCTGCCCATACTTCGCTCATTACCCCCATGCCATCTGGTTTCCATTCCCATGTTTTGAGCCAAATGGCGTTCTTGCAAACCTTACCACTCACCTCTTGACTGCTAAACACAACCGTCTGTACTAGGTCCCTGTTATAAGGGTTGAGTCATGTGCTCCAAAAAGAAATGTTGAAGTTCTAACCCCTAGTACCTCAGAATGTGACCTGATTTGCAGATGTAATTAGTTAAGATGAGGTCATACTTGAGCATGGTGGGCCCTTAATCCAATATGACTGATGTCCTTATAAGAGAACTCCATGTAAAGACATGGAAACATATGGGGAGAAGACTCATGTGAAGAGATTGGAGTTCTGCTGGCTGTTACAGCCAAGGAACACCTGGGGTCACCAGAAGCCAAGAAGAGGCAAGGGAATCACCTTTCCTACGGGTTTTGGAGGGAATGTGGTCCTGCCAACACCTTTATATTGGACTTTCAGGTTGCAGAACTGTGAGAGAATAAATTTCTGTTGCTTTAGGCCATCCAGTTTATGGTACTTTTTGAAGGCAGCCCTGAGAAACTAATACAAGTCCTCATTTTGTATTTTCAACCTTTTCTATTTACTGCTCCTTTATCAAAACTTGCCTTCATCTTGACCTCCTCACCCCGGCATTATCTCACTTCGCAATTATTCTGTTCGTTTCTCCTCTCTGACTCATATCTCCAGATGTCTCATTCCTAAATGCATACATATGCTCCCTATACTTCTGCACTCAAACTTTGCTCTTTTTGTGCAAAGCTTCTCCTAGGTTTCACCTGTCACACTCATGGAGATGACTCTCCAATTGAGATCATTCATTTATTGGGCACCTGCTGTATGTGAAGCATAGAGTTAGATGTCACAATGACTCAGCTATAGGGCCAGTGGAATATTTAGTTTCAGTTTCCAGTCCTCCAGCTCCATATTACCTACAGCTCTATCTGGCACCTCCACCCTAATTCACCAGCCTCCCGGAACTGTCCGTCTACTTGCTTTACTCTTTTGCTTAATTGCTGCATTAGTGTCCTATCCCTTCAGGCTGGTGACCTTGGATTCATCTTTTATTGTTCCTTTTCCCATAACACTCAATCAATTATCATGTCCCCTAGATTCTACCATTACCTTCTCCCTCCATAACCACTCTTGTTTAAACCCACATCAATCCTCATCTGAAATATTCTGGCAATTTACTCTTCAGTATCCCTCCCTCCCATCTTTCTCCCTTCTGAGTCATCTTATGAGAATAATTACTCTTCCACAAGCACAGCTGTGATTAGACATTCCTTTACCAAACCCCCAATGACTCCCCACTGACTGACAAATTAAGTGTAAATTGCTCACCCAGTTCTTAAGGTCTTTTATGACAAAGCCCTGCTCGACCTTATCCCCTGATCCTTCCCTCCTGGACCTCATATATCAATCAGATTAGATGACTTCTGGCCCTTCTCCATCTTCATATTTCTGTTTATGCCATTCCCTTTACCTAAAAAGTGTAGAATTCTTTTCCCCATTCCTCTAACCCAAATGGATGAAATTCTATCTATCATTCTTCATGGCTCCCTTGAAAACCATCATGGCCCTTCCACCAGGTGAGATCTCTACCCTCTTTGACCTCCTATCTTTCATGGTTTGTACCTCTCTTGGGCTGACTGTATTCGTATCACTTGTATTCTTGTCTTGTCCCCACAGTTGGACTGTGGGGTCCATCCAGCATGATAGATGCATGGAGAACATACCAGAAATGGGCAGTGTGGGTTCTGTTCCAATTTTATTGAGTTGCTAACACTCTAGGAATGGCAACACCCTGGGACATAATAATATTCCCAAAGGTGTTATTGAACCAAACTGCGGTTCGCTTGCCCAGAGTAAGGACAAATGTTTATAATGAGGTTTGTAGTGGGAAAAAGGAAGGCACTTGTTTGTGGGGCACCAAGCAAGGAGAATCCAGCAGCTCATGCTTAACACCTGACATCCCTGATGGCTTGTAAGTAGGAGCTTTAAACGACAGGGGTAAACTTTAGGAAAGCAGAAGTTATAGGCAAAATTGTAAATCAATATATGGTGGTTACACATTAGTTCTGCTTAAAAAGGGCAGGATATCTTAAAGCAGGGTCTTACAGATCATCAGTAGATTGAAATATTTTCTGATTGTAGTTGGTTAAGGAAGAGAAGTTTTGTTTAAAATTTGGAGTCAGCAGAAAAGAATTTAGCTGTGGCTCATAGGTGTGACTTTCTCTAGGCACCTCAGGAAAAAATTTAGAACAAAGAATGGAGTTCAGGGTTTAGTCTTCAGTTTCTTGCTAACACATAAACCTCCTTTTCTGATGTCTATGTGTTAGCGGGTCTATTTGGCAGGGGTCTGGGTTTTTGAAGAACAACTCAGGGACTTATGTTAAGATGTTATGTTTAGTTTTTATAAGGAACCAGACATTCCATGATTTTAATTTTTTTAGCTATTGTTTTAATCTTTTTTTTTAATTGTTAAGTTGTTTATTTATATTTTTAGGGCCAGTTACATGCCTGGAAGGAGTTTAAGATTTTTAAGAAGTTTTATGGGAACGTCAGGACCTTAAGTGAGCTCCCTGCTGTGTTTTAAAAGCTCTTCGTTAAAACGCAGAAGACTTGACATGGACCTGAGATGCTACAGTGACCTGTCCTTTTGAGATTTAGTGGTACTTGAAAGGAAAGGAGAATCTAATTTTTAAAAAAAAAAGTTATCTTACAGGTAACTGACATCTTCACAGCATAAAATCATAAAAATAACAGCCAATATGTGTATACCACATACTATATGCCAGACATTGTTCTAAATGTGCCACATATATCAATTCATTTGCTCCTCATAAAACCCCTTTGCTGATGAGGAAACTGAGTGCAAAAGGGTTACATATCTTGCCTGAAATCACAGCTAATTAGTGAATGAACCAGCCCCAGTAGACTGACTTCACATGCTTGTTCCAAACCACTGCTTTATCATTGCTGTGCTGTAGGGACAGGAAGGGAATCCCCTCCCCGGAGCTGTGCTGAGGCCCCAGGACACATCCTGCCTTTGACCTTGCATGGTTCCATCTAAGAAGCCACCTCACATGTAGAATAGTGTCCCTGAACAGAGGATGAACATGATGGGAATGACCACTCAGGAAGTGTGTAAAGGGTATGGGGCTCAGATGCTCTGAAGAAACATCCCCAGCATGTCTTGAGGCTGAGGTGGCAGCCTCACCTGGGTCTATTCCTCTACACCTACCACCTGGCCCTCCCTTTTCCACCCCCTTCCAAAGGGCCACAGTGAGTACTAGGATGTAACATTGTGCTAAAGCCACACATCTGGCTCTTTGGCCCCATCCCTTCTCCATTTCCCACTCATGATCTCCTCTACTTAAGAAATGCCATGTCAGAAGATGAAGCATGGCAGGGTGGAGTATACAGATACCAGGATGGGTAGGCAGGCTGGCATTGGGGAGTACTCTACTCCACTCACCCCTTAGACCACACCAGCTAGTGTGAACTGAGCTCCCATTTGGTGCCAAACACTAGTCTAAGTACTTTGTATGCATTAACTTATTAACCTTCACAGTAACCACTTACCGAGTTGGTGCTCTCTCTCTCTCTCTCTTTCTTTTTCTTTCTCATTTTACATATCAGAAACCTGGGGCACAGGAAAGTACAGTGATTTTTACAAGATCACACAGTTAGTTAGTGGAAGAGTCAGGATTTGAACACTTTCAGAGTCCTTGCTCTTAACCACTAACCTGACTGAATGCCCTCCCCAAAAAGGATGTGGTTGGAGGTATGTGAAATCACCCTGTAGAGCAGTCGTTCTCAACCTGGCTGTACTTTAGAATCAGTTAAACCGCTTTCCA